GCGCTTCCTGAACAGCAAAGCGTGTCCGGCCGGCCTGGGAGGCTCCGGGTCCTGCTCCCCAGCAGAGCCAGAGGCAGTCCTAGCCTGCCTGCCCCCCGCCCCCCGCTCTCCCGTGGGGGGTGTCTGGGTCCGCCCCGTGTTTCGGGACAGACTTCACTCTCTGCATTAGCCGACATGGGTCTCAGCCCCGTTGGTCCCAGCCCCGGATTGGATGCGGGCGCCTAAGTCCATGAAGACGAGGCGGCGTGGGACCTGCTCGTTAGCTAACGTGGCCTCCGCTTCCTCAAGTCTGGGGAAGTCGGGCGGAGCAGGGGCAGGGACGGGCTTTGGCATCAGACCTGCTGTTGCCTCAGTTTCTCCCGCCGCACAGTCAGGGCGATTCCTCTGGGAGCGGGAGGGTGCGTGTGCTTGTCTCAGGACAGTGTCTGTCTGTCATGTGGTCGACGCTTAAACCTTGGTTTTTGCAGGGACCAGTTTTTGGTACAAAATATCCCGGGGAAACAAAGCGGGGCCCTTACAGAGAACATGGTTTTCAAATCGAGTCCTATTCCTCGGCCCCTGGGAAACGCCTTCTGTTATGATTTAGCAGCCGTTTTCCCAGGAGTCGGTGTTTCCGAAATGGCGCTTCCCACAAAGCTTTCGTAAAGGACACGCAGGACACCCACCAGCCCCGAAGGCTCCCCAGGTGAGCGAGGAGAAGGGAAGTGTCAGGACAGCGCCCCTCCCATGGGGGCGGCAGGGGGAGGGGGGGACAGGGCGGCTTTCTTGGTTTAAATCGTTACTGTTGCAGACGGGGGTGGGGTGGGGGGGCGGTTTGCTCTGCACACCAGTGTGAGGCGAGGGAGCCAACGCCCCCTGCGGGGTAAACGGTGCACGAGATCACACTCAGTGCCCGGATCCCACGGGCGAGCGGCATGGCTACGTAGCACTCGGAATAGCACAGTGGTTCCCAACCTTCTGGCCCTGTAAACAGCCCCCGTCGGCAACAGTAGCGATATAAGCCAACACGGCTACCCTGGAGCTGCCCTTGTCTGTTACGCTGGGTTCTGGACCAGATCCGGAAAAATAGCTAAGTGATGAGGCAACTTCTGCGTCTCCAGCACTCCGGCCAGTGAATGGCCTTCTTTCATCGCCCTTTAACAATAAGCCACAGGTCCTTGCTCGCTAGTCGTCGGTGGGTTGTGTCTCCCAGTCGGGAATTTTCCCTTGGGGGGCAGGGCCCGCACCGTGGCCAGGAGGAGCCGGCGGCCACGGTAGCAACGCGGGGCTCTTTACGCCGAACAACGTGAGATGCCTGTGAGCGTCAGGCACCGAGGTCCATGAAACTCAGCTCTTCTTCCGAAGCCGATTCTCAGATACATGCATTGAACTGGGGGAGGGGGGGTAGTGGGGGGCTTTCTCTCCCAGGGCCACGTGGGTGTCTATAACATCATTCTCAGGCCACACAGATCATCCACTAAAAACCAGCCTGCTCTGCTGGGTCAAACACTTCACTCACTCGCCCTCGTGCCGTGGCGGGGCCAGGCCACACGATTTCGAGGGCCTTGTATGGCCCGGGCCGGACGCTCCCCTCCTCTGCATTAAAAGTCTGTTACGTAACAAAAACTGTCCTCTGATTCCTCCTGAAAGAAGCCGTTTTCCCCAGTGGAGAGCAGCTGTGCTGAAACCCAGCCCGGGCACTTTAACTGGAAGCAGATGGCGCCTGATCGCGGCCCTGACCATAGACTCTGGTCTCTGCCTGTTTCTCTGTGGCCTGATTATCCTCCGAGAAAAAAAACAGTTTAATTTCTTTTTTAAAAAATATTGATTGATCGGTTTACTTTCGCTTAATCATTATGCGAGGATACTTTTCCTATTGCTAGAGAGAGTGGAGGGAAGGGAGCCACAAGGGAGAAAGAGAGAAACATGGATATGAGAGAGACACATTGATGGTTGCCTTCCATGTGAGCCCAGGCCAGGGAGGAGCCTGCAACCGAGGTACATGCCCTTGACCAGAATCGTACCTGGGACCCGTCAGCCTGCAGGCTGATGCTCTATCCACTGAGCCATACCAGCCAGTGCAAAAATAGTTCAATTTCCAATTCACTCACAGGGGAGGCCTTCGGGGGAGACCTCCAACAGCCGCCTTCCCAACAGCAGCTCAGAAAGGGCGGGACCACCCAGTTCCCGCCCCACAGACGCTAACGCCACCCACCAGGAGCCCTCCTCCCGGCTCTGACAGGTGCCCACTGCGCTCGCTCAGCTGTGCCAAATGGCCATGTTGGCCTCCCAGTGTTTGGGTGCGTGACGGCAGTTCTGAAACCTTACGGCTCTTTTCAGAAAAAGGGCTAAGAATTTAAACAGTCAACCGTGAAAGGCAATCAGAGCACAGCCCTGTCCTTCAACCATGAAAGACAGAACACGTGAAAACAGAAGCACACGCAGTGCCCCAAACCCAGCCGAGACCGGAGCGCCCACCTGCAGCCTCTGGGGCCGCCTCGCAGGGAGGTGAGGGCCGGGCGACACACCAGGGCCCAGTGCAGACTCAGGCCCTGGAGAGCCCGCCCTCCCCGGCTCGGGGGCAAAGCCGATCCGGGCGGAGAGCTGGGCACCGTCGGCAGACCTGAGCCTGGGCCAGCAGCGACAGGCATGCCCATCGGGCCACTGTCCCTCCTCGGGCCTGGCCCGTGCCTGGACCTGCAGCCACTCAGCAGGGGCCTGGCCAACGAGGGAACCAGGACGGTGGCTTAAATGCAGCCCAGACCGACCCCTGGGGCTGCACTTAGTGTCCTGGGTGAGGAGCGAGGAGACGGGAGGGCACAGAGTCCCTTGTCACATTTGTGTGTGTGTGTGTGTGTGTGGTGTGTGTACATGCGTGTGGGTGCGTGACACGCGTGCGCACAGGCAGCCCCCTCCCTTACCTGGTCCTTGAGCTCGGACAGCTGGCCCGAGAGGTTGGAGACGAGCTTCATGGTGGACTCGAGCTTCTCCTGCAGGTTCCGCAGCTCGTTCTGCTCGCCCTCCGAGTCGCTGCTGACCAGGGACATGGCTCTCATCCGGGGGAACCAGTCGAGATTTCTCTCCTGGAATCGCGTGGGCAGAGAGTGGGGTCACCACGGGGAGGCGAGGCTGGGGGGCCGCGGAGCACCGGGGCCTGGCCCCCTCGCACGAGGCCCGCTCGGTGCCGCAGAACGGGCGGATGCGGGTCGTTGTAAAAACCCCGTCCCCCCAAGTACCCTCTTAATTGAATACACGGAACTCTCTCGATTCCTAGAATTCCTTAACCCCTTCCCCGGCAGAAACGTGTATACACGTTTTCACAAAATGTTCTTTTTTCAGTCGGCGACGAGTATACTCGTCTAAAAACTTTACCTTCAATAACCAGCTACATACGTACCATTCTAAATAATTTCATCTAGAAACTTCCTGAGGAAATACTATTCTTAACCACAAAAATGGGAAGAAAAAATAATTACAAACTGTTTTCATAACCAGCATCAAAAATACTATATAGAACCAAAATAAAAAAATTAGTCTGAAAAAGAAACGTTTTTAACAAAAAAATTATTGGGGAAGGGGTTAAAGTTAAACGTGGGGAAAGTCGGCTTTGAAACAGGTTCCCGATCTGCAAATATGAGCGCTGCCCTGGGAGCCCGATCTTTGCAGACCACAGGGCTGATGAGCGTTGAGTTTAACGTTGCGGTGAAACACCCCCCGGAACCGACCACCTCCCGCTCAGCTGTCCGCCCAGTGGCACCTGTGCACTCGCTGTCGCACAGCCGTCACGCCACCATCCGGGCCTTCTCGTCTCTCCAGCCGACACTCAGGTTTTAGAGAGAAAACCCAAGATCTCCGAGAAACGTCACCCTGGCTGCAGGCCATGTCGGGCCCCTGCCCCGTCCTCGACACAGAGCGCGGACCATCCCCATTCCTCCGGCACAGGCAGGTCTGCCCGGCGGTGACCGGCGAGGTCCCCCTTTGCCTGCTTCCCACCTTAATACCTAATGCAGAGCTGGGAAGCCTCACCCCTAACCACACACACAGCCCAACGGCGGGCACCGCCGGCTCCTGCCCTGCGGGCGGTTCCCAGCCTGAGGCCCAGGGTGGGTCCCCGGGGCTGTGAGTCAGATCTCAAACCCCCAGCAGCACCTGGGAGTGGGAATCAAGGAGCAGTTCTGGCCTTGGCCGGTGTGTCTCAGTGGATAGACCGCCGGCCAGCGGACCGAAGGGTCTGGGGTTTGATTCCGGTCAAGGGCATGTATCCGGGTTGTAGGTTCTATCCCCAGTGGGGAGGCAGGCAGGAGGCAGCCGATCAATGATCTCTCTCATCACTGATGTTTCTCTCCCCCCCCGCCCCTTCTTCTCTGAAATCAATAAAAATGTATTTTAAAAGAAAAATGAGCAATTCTGGCCAAACTGCCTCTCAGTTCCACGTGGCTCTGACCCCAGAGCCCCTCTGCACGGGGTCCTCGTCTCGGGGGACCGTGTGGAGCCCACCCTGTGCCGAGTGCGAGGCAGAGACCGCCGCACCCGCTCACTCTCTCCAGCTCGGACGGCACGTGCCC